CACGGTTGTCGCAATCTGGAATCAATTTTGGTCATTTACGATTTGTTTCGCTGCATCAGAACCTTCCTCAGAGCAAGGACGTAGAAAGCCTACTTGGAATAATCTGTTTACATGATCGCCGACAAAATCGAAATCTTCGCCGAGACATCGCTGATGATATTATTGCTGGTTTATTTATTCTTTTTGATGTCGCTTCTGAACCCGATGACCATGCTGAAGTACTTCTATTATTTCGTGGGATGCATCGTTAATTTCATTGTTTCGTATCTAATCTGCATGTTTCAGGATTCAGTTCCTACCGGATCATATAATGATCCATTCTTGTCTAGTGTGATTTCCATGGTGGCTCCGACATGGTGCCATGGAGCCATTTGAGGCAACCCTTTTCAGGGTGAGTGTCGACAGTCTTGAACTCTGAATTAACAATTTTAATTTGATAATTCGCTTGAGTAAATTGTAACAGTTGGCCTTCTGTTCTGCTCCATTTTTTGAGTATCCTGCTGCTCCTGCGGTCCCTTGTGAAACCTGTGGAATGCATCCCTCACGGTGAAGCCGTTCTGAACTGCCAGAAACTCCATTTTTTACTACTGCAGCAACTTTTGCAGCGTCATTGCATCATGTCACGACACTTGAATCAGGCAGGCACACGTCTTGCAGGTGTGGTTTTCTTTCCTTTTGGTTCTCTGGTGAGGTGAAACATATTGTGCATCTAATTCGAGGGAATTTGTAAGCCGTTTTATGCCCTTGTGGCTGACTGGAGCACGGGCCTGGATTGGCACAACGCACGACCTTTAGGTTTAGGAGCTGAATCCTGTCTTTAATTAATTGTTTTGGTTTTCTTGCCTGTCATTAACTAGTCCCCCATTTGGTCCCTAATCTTCCCCGCGTGCCTCTCCGTAATGTGTCGTGGGGTTTAGGTGTGTGCGCTGTTTTTGGTCAGGTCCGTTTCGCCGTGTAGGTTGGTTCCGGAGGTCCGTCCGCTTTTTTCTTCCTCTTGCCTTTCAGGGTTGACCCGGCTCCGGCCGGGTGTGTGTGTGTGTAACATCTAAATAGATGTAAAACTTCTCTCTCCTTTTCTTCCTTTGTCCTCTGCCTTTTTAATTCTAAATTCAATGCAGGGGGGCAATCTCATGTTTGCAGCTGATTGCCCAACGAAGAGGGCTGCATTCATGACTGATATGACTCTAGGACGCTGGAGTCACGTACCTGCTATTTCAATTTTGACTGACATGGCACGCGGCCAAGCCTAGAACCGCACGGCTGTATTTTCACTTCACGGTTGTCGCAATCTGGAATCAATTTTGGTCATTTACGATTTGTTTCGCTGCATCAGAACCTTCCTCAGAGCAAGGACGTAGAAAGCCTACTTGGAATAATCTGTTTACATGATCGCCGACAAAATCGAAATCTTCGCCGAGACATCGCTGATGATATTATTGCTGGTTTATTTATTCTTTTTGATGTCGCTTCTGAACCCGATGACCATGCTGAAGTACTTCTATTATTTCGTGGGATGCATCGTTAATTTCATTGTTTCTTATCTAATCTGCATGTTTCAGGATTCAGTTCCTACCGGATCATATAATGATCCATTCTTGTCTAGTGTGTGTGTCTGTGCGTCTCTCTGTGTGTGTGTGTCTGTGGGTCCGTGTGTGTTTGTGTGTTTGGGGTAACAAACTTTCCATCCCATAAACGCTCACAGAATCAAGTCATAGATTGCTCGGAAATTCTGGATCAGAGATGCCGCTCTAGTTTGTTTTGTAGTATTGTTTTTCCATGTTCATTCCGGATCAATTATGATCAGTCTTTTTTATTTTTGCTGAGTTGATTCTGTTACCCTTTGAAAGCAATGGATATTTATTTACACCGTTTCACGGCACCAACAAACAAATTTTATCACATGTCTTGCAACTTATCGGGGTTCGCCGCTGTCATTCACACAACGGTGCTGCATTGGTTCTCCGGAGACCACCACGTTCCCGAGGAACATACCTGCCACGTGCTCCGCAGTTGGGGGCAATTTATTAGCTGCAGCATGGTTGCACGGCAGTTCGTTGTTCTCAAAACAGGTGGTTTTGCATTCTGTGAAGGCGTGGCAAAATTAGGAAAACAAAGTCGGATTGAATTAAATTTGGAATTCAGCCTCGTCCAAACATGCGATGCTACAAATGTGAGTATTTGATAGTGTTGGAATGCCGCTGGTGTGTTGTTTTTTCATTGAAAACCAAATTTCTGGGTTTGAACAATTTTTTCCCCTCACACTTGCACTGAGATCCTGGGAATTCTCGGTGGCAGCATTTCATCTTTGGAAAACAGCTGTCGAGCCGTCACGCTCGCAAATGCGACTCGGCATAAACTCAACCCCCTAGGCGCAGATCCACAAGAATTTGTTATTTGCTCAAGGAGTATGAGAGCATCTTTTGCAGATGAATGACGCAAAATCTTTGATGGTTTGATGCATTAGTGAAGGTTTGGTTATAGTCCGGACATGGGAGGCTAAATGGTTGTTGTTGAAGTGAATGTGCTTTGCTCACAAACTATGTTTTCCTCATCTTGTCATGACAATGAAAGAGGAGTGGAATTAAAAACCATGCGACTAACCGCACCCTGCAAGGAAAACCCAGAGTGGCTACAGTATGTCAAGGATTGGGTCCGTAGTGAGCAGATTCGTTGGCTGTCCAACATGCATTCACTCTATCGCATTCCATCACATGTATTGATCAGCAAAGGTTTGAAAAAACGCAGGCTGCTGAACAGACGTCAAACCAGAGAGCAATGCGTGAGAGATGTTGAATATGTAGGGCAATCTCACAGACCTCAAGTGCAAATAAGAAGCTGCAATATTGCATTGATCGTCTGCAGCAAGTGACTATTTTGCATGAACCATCAGCCGTACGCCGCAATCCCCTTTCCAAACCTTGTGGCGAAGCTACATTCCAGAGGAATCAAGCATTGACTGCAGCAGCATATCCAATTGATCAAGTGAAGTTCAGGGCTTTTCTGTTTCATGTTTCATTGCTGAGCTTGAATGCTTTCAGAGAGATCAAGTCGGCTGAAAACTTCTTATACTGTAAATCAAACTGCACGCCTCCAACATACAGAAAAAAACTGCTATTCGCCATATTTTGCCAGTCGCAGGTCACAAAACACTACAAATCCATTAAAATTCCACATTGCGTTTTGTGCGCAGACGGGCGTCAAATCACCCGAAAACATGCTTGGGAAATTCCGTATCAGAATGCACATCTCGTGTAATCTGTAATGTAACATATTTTCAGTGTTTAAAAGAAAACTGCTTTCAAAAAGGTTGGCGCTTGGACTTTACACTTACCTTCTCTCAAGCAGTTTAAGCAGGTTCAAAGGCTGCCAATGCCAAGCAGCTTTGCAGTCTGTAAAAGGGGGTAAACCTAGCAGGTCTGAACTTCGAACAGGTCACCTGTAACAGGTCAAGTCGTTTTGCGCCCTGCCAGCTTTGCGCCCCCCCGGGACCTAAAGCCGCTTCAAGAAGGTACCCGAATCCAGCGCGTCACTTGCTTGAATTGCTGAACACTGTATTGAATTCAACCTCAAAAAACCATCCCCTACAGGACCCATAAGACCCACACAATTTGGGCAGCAGCACGCAGGGCAGGGTTTAAAAAAGAGCTGCACAAGACCTGCTCACGCAAAAAGTTTAAACTGGACCTGAGCCCACCGCGCAATGGATATATCTCATTTGGTTCGCATGCTTTGCCCGGCAAATGTGTTCTTGTGAGCCTGTGCTCTCATGCAAATCTCTGTTTTACCCAGCTTCAGCATACAGCATGCATTGAAATTACTGAATGTGCGGCTTTCTTGGTTTCTGTGGCCATGTGGCAGGAAAAGCCAAAATGGTTGAAATATGTCAAGCGACGTTTGTCGGGCCGTTCGTCTGAAAGGCCAACCAATGCAGGCACAGCTTGATCCACACTGTTTTGACGGACAAAAATTTCTGGCCAGAGATTAGGAAAGGTTGGGCTGCTAGACTGCTAGACTCATTAGTTGGACATATGGTATAATGACATGTTTCAGTCTTCTCTACCTCAGTTGGTTTCTCAACTCAAGTAGAATGTGTGTTCGAATACATGCTTGTGACCTGATTCTGAACAAGTTGAATTGCTATGTTTGTTCACACTTGTGCCAAAGCACTGCAAAGATCTGCAAAGAGGAGCGGACTCGTGGATACTTTGCATTGCTTTGATTCAACATACTTCACGTTGTTTTGATTTAAACTCACTGGTTCGGACGGTGGGAATGTGTGTTTGTTTCAATCTCAAGGAAAATTTGGGCCTGCATCATGGTGGGGGTCTTCTACCTGCGTCACACAGGTGTGAAGCAGATGCACTCTACTGCCAAGCTTCCTCCTCTGCCAGTTCGAAGCATTCTTTCAGAGGCGATGATTCAAGAGATCAGGCAGGGCAAAGCAAAAAAGCAAGACAAGCGTGAATGTGCTGGACTCTGCTTGACGGTAAAAAATGCGTCATTATCAATCTTGCGGCAAGAATGCACTCAAAGAGCCGCACCCTTTATCCGCGCAAAAGGTATTCATCAGAAAGAGGATTCTCTATGCGGTCCAGTGAAAACGAAGCAAACATGATGATCATGTATGACATTGACAGCAATGATGATGATTTTTTGTAATGGAATAGCTTTCGGTTCCCACACAAGTCCTCAGCAACACGAGGGAAGTAAACTTAAATGGAGAATTTAGGCCAAAATTGATTTGGGTGGAGAATTTTAATCTGGGAGATGCCAGCATATGGTGGTTATTAGTGGTTATTACAAGTATGTACCTGGCTGTATTTGCAATGTAGTCGCAATGCGGTCTGGTGACTACAGTCCCTTTGTGTATACATGGAGGGCTGCATCATCATGAGTCTCCACGATGAATGCACATGTAAAGGGCATTCTTCTTGTTCAGGAACAACCTGTCCGCAGCGGAGTTCAGGAGGGTTGAGATTGCGCAATGTACTTTTGATACAATGCTTACAGCGCTTCTTAGCTTAATGTAAAACCTGTCAGACTAGCGGTGGGGCTTCATCCGTTGAAAATCACCTGTGACAGCAAAACAGCAAGTAAAATGCTGTGTAATTGTGTGTCTGTGAAATCTTTTAAAGATAATATAATTCATGTATATATTATAATATATTCACCTAGATTGCATTCATACCAACCCAGGGTACTGTCCGTATAAAGAAAAGCTGTTCAAGTGTGCAGTAGTTGAATCATGTTGAATCCAACTTTGATGTGCTCTACATGTTTAAGTGCTGAAGGGGTCTCTGCCAGAGCCGAGGATGTTCTTCGGAAGAGGTCTTCTGGATATCTACAATGCCGCAATGCATAGTCCCTGCACGGTCGCTGACGATTTCGATCACCAATTGGCAGCCTGGCACAAGTAAAGAAGTGTTCGTTCAAGGATGTTCCAGGGCTTCAGTAGCTTCTAAGTTCCATGGTTTTCCACGGAAAAGTGAAAAGAGAGTGAGCAGATGACAAGCAGACAGATGACCGACGCTCTGCCTTCCGCCTGTATCAAAGGACCAAGATGCTACGTGCATGGTGCAAGTATCCGGCATGATAACCACGTTTGACTTCGTCGGGGCGCTTATATCCTTAGTAGTCTCAGAGTGTCCAGAGGGCGCAAACATCAAGGCAGGGTCAGGTCTTGCTGTGTCTTCCTGGAAGCTTCCAAGGATCTCCCAGAAGTTCCTGTTCTTGAACCGTCCACTTGCAAGCTGAATGTTCACGTGTATATATATATACACACAAAATGTTTTTCATATTATTCTGATTCAGCAACGTTGCAAAGGTTCACGCTGTCTTGGAATAGTTTGGAACTCTTCCTCCGTGGTAACAGTCTCATCAACATACTAAAAGTCAATACCACTACAGCACATAGCCTTGATTTCATTCTTGAAATTTGACGTGCTCCTGTGCCAGGCCTTGTGCGCATCAGATGCTACGATCCTTGTTGGCGCAGTTTCAGGGCTGTTGCAGACCGGCGCCTCCTTCCTGTTGGTTTGTGGGCAGGAATCTGATGAGATCGATCACATCCTTGATGACATCGGGCCAGATATCGTTCCGTGATTCAAAGATGACCAGTTTGAAGCAGCGCCAGGGTTGGATGCGAAGCCATCCACCTGAGGAATGGGTCTCATGTCATAGTTGTTAGGAGTCAGCTAGTCTACTCAATTGACGAGTGAGCATGCTGGCACAGTGGGCCGGAATTGTAGCCTCCAAGCCAATTTTCAACGCTGCTAAGCAGCACTTCTGCAGCAATTCTGAAGGAGCGGAACATTTCAGGTATTGTTATGTTTTGCTCATCCTGTTGCTTGGCAAGGCTGCTCTTGGTCGGAAAGGTAATGGCAACACAAGAGGCTTTTGGTTTGGCTATGTTTGTCCTTGCCAAGCAGAAAGGGACTTCACTTCGGAAACCGCTTGCTATGTCGGGAAAAAGACGGAACATAAAATGCAAAGAGTACTCATCAACAATCCAAGAGAGGGCAGGTATTGTGTCGAAGCATAAAGAGAGCCCGGTTCCCAGTTGAAAGTGTTGCCCAGTACCATTCCACAACTCAAGGGATATGTGTGTGTGTGTGAAACCCGCTAGCTGTCATGCGGGAAAACGAGGGGAACTGGGCACTCTGTGACTTTTTTTGAATGTTTTTTTTTGCCTTCCATGTCTTTTGCCTAGTGATTTGGAGGGTCTTCTCCACTTTTAGTTTGTTATTCGATGTTCAGTGCATCTTCAGACCTGAAAATGGTTTGCAGGACAGGCAGGACATACCAGTTTCTTCCCAACTGAACCTTCATGTTGTGTACGTGTCAGATGGTTCGTGATCATGAATCCGATGGTATGTAGTGAATGACAGCCGCAAGCAGCAGGTACTTGTAGTCGCACAATCATTCCTTGACAGGCTTGGTCATCTTGGTCCAGTTGAGTTGGCAAGAGACCAATGCGGGAAGGATAGGGACGCCAAGTGTGCTACGGATGTCTATGATCAGTTTCATTCCATGGTAGCTGCGCGAAGTTGGACAGGGTGCCAATGTGCCAGGTAAAAGGGCTCGACAGGATCGGAGTCAGCAAGCCTTGTCCTAAAATTTATCAGCAAAGTGTTTTGAAGGTGCAGTTCATGCTGTTTGTTCAGAAGGTCCACGGGTGTCGAAAATGACCAGCTGAGGGCATAGGGCGTACTTGTAGGGCCGGCCTAGGGTGACTTTTGTTCTCTTTCCCGCCATTACAAACAGTGCTTGGCAGAAGATACCAGTAGGCCCCCCCAACCTCGGCCTAAGTCGTCGATAGATGTCAAAGGGCACGAGCAAAAGCGTCTAAATTTGGCTTGACAGCCACGCTGTGTTTGCGTCAAGCGCAGTAGAGAGGTCAAGAGGAGTTGATTCAAGAAATTTCCTAAGCAGGAGTGCTGACAATTCATACCATGTTCACAAGGTGCGAGATCAATCAAGACGCGACTTTGCGCAGAAAGTCAATAGGCTGAAATACTCACTCTTGCAAATGTAGTTTTCCCCTACACAATCTAAAAGTGACCCTGTGTTGTTTTTATTTCAGTATCAAAAGAAATTGGTGGCCGGAAACTGTCAACGCCAGTTGAATGCTCCCGATGACCCAGTCCCAATTACTCTCAATGAGATCCAGAAAGGACTGAGATTCCTGTTGCTAAAAGTGGCCACATCAAGGCAAATTGATGTTTTGAGTAAAGACCCCCCACGAACCTCCAAGAAGAGCAGAGGAAATTACTCCGCAGAAGCAGCAGTTTGCATCGCAGAAGCTTTGCGGAAGCTCCGCAGAAGATCGTGTCGAACTTGTCAATCGCGGAAGCTGACGCCTACCTCGCGCTCCACAGAAGCTTAAACTTAAGGGTCAAAATGAAGGCCAATGTTTGTTTATTTGTTTACTCACACAGACTGGCTTGTCAAATCTTCTCACGAAACAAAATGATCGGAGAGTCCAAAAGTGTCAAGTTCGCAAGAGGGAAAGCAAGACTGCTTCGGCCCTTTTGATCGCAGACAGTGGGTTTGACGGAAGCACTACTGCCCAGTTTCAAGCTGTGCTTGGGAGCAGTATCAATATTGTATGGCGGTTTGATCCTCTATGAATCAAGTTGCCTGTGATCGTAACTTCTCTCAACTGTCTTTTTTCAGCCTAGGCTTTGGTGTGGAACATGTCCAATTGGTGAAACAAGCCTTTTGCTTCCACGTGGCGTGACATTTGCCGCTGTATCATGCAGGCAAAGTTGCGTCTTGGATACCGATGGCCCGCTTCTGATTTAATTGATTCCTATGGTCACGTTGCACTGAACAATGCTACGAGCGGTCAATGTTTGCCGAGACTTGACTACCTGGTTTCTGCGTATAGCTCTTTATACACGCTTTCAAACGTTTGAACTCTCTATCGCCGCATTCCAAGCAAGAAAATTTGCTGTATGAATCTAGCAGGGATTTTTCTTCCAGCATGTTCGTGACTTGCCGGCCTCAGGAGAGAGACACTCCCTCTTCAGCCAGATTTTTTTGAATGTTTTTTTTTGCCTTCCATGTCTTTTGCCTAGTGATTTGGAGGGTCTTCTCCACTTTTAGTTTGTTATTCGATGTTCAGTGCATCTTCAGACCTGAAAATGGTTTGCAGGACAGGCAGGACATACCAGTTTCTTCCCAACTGAACCTTCATGTTGTGTACGTGTCAGATGGTTCGTGATCATGAATCCGATGGTATGTAGTGAATGACAGCCGCAAGCAGCAGATACTTGTAGTCGCACAATCATTCCTTGACAGGCTTGGTCATCTTGGTCCAGTTGAGTTGGCAAGAGACCAATGCGGGAAGGATAGGGACGCCAAGTGTGCTACGGATGTCTATGATCAGTTTCATTCCATGGTAGCTGCGCGAAGTTGGACAGGGTGCCAATGTGCCAGGTAAAAGGGCTCGACAGGATCGGAGTCAGCAAGCCTTGTCCTAAAATTTATCAGCAAAGTGTTTTGAAGGTGCAGTTCATGCTGTTTGTTCAGAAGGTCCACGGGTGTCGAAAATGACCAGCTGAGGGCATAGGGCGTACTTGTAGGGCCGGCCTAGGGTGACTTTTGTTCTCTTTCCGGCCATTACAAACAGTGCTTGGCAGAAGATACCAGCAGGCCCCCCCAACCTCGGCCTAAGTCGTCGATAGATGTCAAAGGGCACGAGCAAAAGCGTCTAAATTTGGCTTGACAGCCACGCTGTGTTTGCGTCAAGCGCAGTAGAGAGGTCAAGAGGAGTTGATTCAAGAAATTTCCTAAGCAGGAGTGCTGACAATTCATACCATGTTCACAAGGTGCGAGATCAATCAAGACGCGACTTTGCGCAGCAGGTCTTCAGAGGCTGAAGCACTTAAATGTATATAGTTTTCACCCAAAAATTAAAAGCATTCCCGTGCCTTGCTTTCAGTGTCAACACCTGTTGAATCCTCCCTCTGCATGCGTGTTTCAAAGCCGCAGAACAGCGTTTGAAATGCAGTGCAATGCAGTTGTCGCATAGTCCCAATTTGTCTCAATGATCATAAAGGACTAAGATTCCGTCTTAAGCTACGACACTTGTGTTTCTCGCACGAAGCGTCTTCTGGGAAACACTGACAAGGCGAAATGATCTGAGAGTGCCAAAGTAAGAGGGAAAGCAAGACTGCTGCTGCACTTCCTGAAGGAAGTGCCTAACTGTAACTGTAACTTCTCTGGACATGGGCTGTCTTCGCTGTGTCCAAAAGTCATCCACAAGTAATGCATCCAAAGAAAACTTTGGGTCAGGATGGTCAGGATGTTTCTTTGTAGTGTTGCTCCCACTGAAGCGCAGCATACGCTTGCTTTGCACGGCTCATATTTTTGTTCCGCTCCCTTTCAAGAGTGTGTAGCATGAAACTCTTTAGGATGTTTGTGATGTTCAAGAGGTACAGGTATGTTCCGACCGAAGCAGAAAGGCAAATTCAGTCCTGCTGCTTGCGCAAGACGTACTCAGAAAATACGAACGCGGATGGCCTTGAGTTGGTGGAGAAAAATCGGTGCAGATGTTAGAGGCCAGCATGGATGCCAGTTTAGTGATCCCAAGTGTTTTGGTGTTTGCGACACCGAAACATCAGAGACGCAACATATTCCACCACATTTACTCAGATCCGTTCCCTGCCAGTGTCTCAACGGCAAAGCTATACCCCACCGTATTTGGCATATCATGCAGAAGCAGAGCAACGGAACTTTCGTAACGCACTTCACAAGGCTTGCCGCCTTGCCAGGTTGTTTGGCTCGCAGGACATACCAGTAGCTTGCCTACGCAAATATACCAGGAGCTGCCTGCAACAACCTGACACAGACAATGGGCTCTGCATTTTGGATGCTTAAACTTGCCTCAGTTTGACCAAGCAAAATCCGATGAATTCAGTTGATTTCTAGGAGGTTCCAAATGGATTCTAGGGTTTCTCCATGTGCCTTCGTGCGGCTTCGCAGTGTGTCAAGTATTATGATTATCATACCAAGTGCTCTTTCTCAAGTCTATACTTTGATTCTTGGGAGAATTGCTTGGAGAACAGAGCACAATTCAAAGCAATGAAGCTGGGAGCTGGTTGGATTGTTGATGTCAAAAGCAACAGCCTATTTTTGCGCATGAGATGAGCTGTTGCAAGCCAGGTACAATGTCGAGAGTCGAGACCGAAGAGCAATGAGAGGAGCATGACCAGTATCCACAGAGGCCAGAGAGAATCAAACCCTCAGCTAGTGTTAGACGTGGATGGTTGCATTGTTTAGGATGAAATTCGAATCGCAGCCTCCAGCCATGCTTGGACAGTTGAGCCGCGGTTGATGGTCTGAAGAGTTGCAAAGGCACCCGTTGCATGAAACAGTCCCGAGTTCAACATTGGACTTTCTTGGAATGAGGATGGGTGCCATGAATCTCGTTTCCAAGAGGCTGCAAAAACAACGGTGGGACCCTTGCATTCCCGGTCCTTGCTGCCCATGCATTCTGTGGCCTCGTACAATGTTTTCTTTGTTTGTCCAACATTCTTAGCCCGAACCTGAGATTCAATAGGCAACGATCAGCTGACGCACGGCCCTTTAGGTCCATATAAGCTCCTACCGGAATTAAAGTCCAATTTGACTTGATGATCCTCCAGCTGTAATATGGCTGCTTTGCCAGTGCCTGAAAGATCCTCAAAGTCTTGAAGTGTGATCAGTATCAGTATCAGGTCAAAGTGTTTTCAAAGTATGTTTACCAGCCTGTTGCCAAAGCATCAGCAAGGCTTTTGGGGTGCTTTGGAAGAAAAGTAACAACCACTATCCAATTCAACGATGCATGTTCTTGGACTGGTGCATCATTTTAAGCTTCTTTCCAGCTCAGAGTGCAGCTTGCTGCCATTTCAAATGGGTTACAGTGTGATGAAACAGAAGTTCAACTATTTGATCCCTTGAACTCTTACTCCGTTATGGTTTTCCGCTTTGTTTAAGGGCCCAATTCGAATCTCTGAAAGCCAGCTATCTTCCGCAAGTGGAAGGTACGAAGTCTTGCCAAGCAATGAGAAAGAACGGAGCATTGGAGCTGCAGACAAACCGTAGCTGCCGTAGCTGGATTCCAAGGACTGCACTCGAGCATTGTGCCTTGCTGCAGCCTCCAGCCATGCTTGGACAGTTGAGCCGCGGTTGATGGTCTGAAGAGTTGCAAAGGCACCCGTTGCATGAAACAGTCCCGAGTTCAACATTGGACTTTCTTGGAATGAGGATGGGTGCCATGAATCTCGTTTCCAAGAGGCTGCCAAAACAACGGTGGGACCCTTGCATTCCCGGTCCTTGCTGCCCATGCATTCTGTGGCCTCGTACAATGTTTTCTTTGTTTGTCCAACATTCTTAGCCCGAACCTGAGATTCAATAGGCAACGATCAGCTGACGCACGGCCCTTTAGGTCCATATAAGCTCCTACCGGAATTAAAGTCCAATTTGACTTGATGATCCTCCAGCTGTAATATGGCTGCTTTGCCAGTGCCTGAAAGATCCTCAAAGTCTTGAAGTGTGATCAGTATCAGTATCAGGTCAAAGTGTTTATCAGTATCAGGTCAAAGTGTTTTCAAAGTATGTTTACCAGCCTGTTGCCAAAGCATCAGCAAGGCTTTTGGGGTGCCTTGGAAGCAAAGAAATGCTGAGACTTTGTTGCTCCCAGTGGGAGAAAAGCATGTATCTTCGCAGAGGCAATCTTGATTTACACCCAGATGGCACGTTCAGACTTGTTTTGCCCCTAACTATTTTGCATGCTCCCTGTCCACTCTGTTTGTTTGAGTTGAGCTTTCCATTGAGACCATCTGGAAAAGCAATCAGGTGCTGAAACCCTTTTGTGCCAATCCCGGGATGGCTAAGTAATGGCAGGCGCACAACTAACTGGACGCCTCCTTGCAACTCCGAGGGCTGAGTAGCCCAACTCTGGAACGGCACAACCACATGCAGCACATGCATCCGCGGCAGTGCATTGCGGAGAGTCACTGACTGCACGCTGCCGCACTGCGTTAGCTTCCCTTCAGCTCACTGGCGCTGGAACCAACTCAGCAGCATAGTTCTAGAGAGAGGAGCCATGAAAACTGTGATGAATTCAGCGATTTGCTGGAATATCACACTTTCATACAGACAAAAAACATATGGTTCATATGAAGGAAACGCCAGCTGCTGTAAAGAGAGCCCACTTTTACAATGTCTCACTAGCTTGGCAACGGTGTCCATGACTAGCTAGTGAGAGACATTTCGAAGTCACTGTCGCCATCCGTCACCCGTTGTGCAAAGCGCAGAAGAAAAAACATGCAGGCAGACAATAAGTGAGATGCTTGCAGTAAAGTCTCGTGTATCCTACAGACCGTGATCACATCGACTCGGAGGTCCTCGATTATTTCCCTTTGATGGAAGATGCCGGTGGCCTACCCCGCTTCGAAAAAAGCGACCTTCCTATGAAATTTGCGACCTAGCCTATTGCCACTGTCACTGTGCTGAGAAGATCATGTTCCCGCCCTCAGAGCTCTATAGAAGACCTTGGAACTTAGCTTCAAGTCAAGTATCAACTTGGCAAAAGAACGATCATAAATCATATCCAGTAGGTTTGAAAAAGGTTTTCCATATCTTTCAATCCCAATACATCCAATATATCATGTCTGTTTGAGGAGTCGAAAGCAGGAGGAGGCTAGCAGAATTGCAGGCTCTCAGAGCGGGATTGCGCCGCAAAACGTCCTTGCCTAGGCCAAACAGATGCTCCTTTGAGTCAATATGAGCCAATGCCTCCTTATGTTTGCACATGTTTGCACCAAAGTTAAAGCACAGGCAGTTTGCATGGTGCGTTTGAATAGAAGGTTGCATAAGAACCTCATAAAACTTAGAAATACTGTGGATATTTCGAGCAAAAGGATTCGGAGCTTGGACAAAGCATGCAGGACACCCAAGCCTCCCAAAGGCATGGGTGCTATTGAAATCGTGGCTTGCTGTAGGCAGCAAAGCACCGGCATATGGAATCTCACCGGAGCCATCGCAAACTGTTGATATCTCGACGTCGAAAGTGCAGACGTAGGTCCACTATGGTCCACATTGGACGAGCTTGGACATGACTTCAGGGGGTGGCCGTCCTGTCCATGGACGGTTTGCTTTGATCTTGACTGTCAAGCTTAGACGTTTGTGCAACACGCCCTATACAGTTACTGGGTCATTTTGCACATGTCCTTTAATCTTCAAAAACCATACCTGAATTGAACATGTTTGAAAATGCATGCCGCCGAAGTTCTTGAAAATCTTATTTTAACTTATCACCTAGCCTATACAGCCTATACAGACTATACAGAAAAAGTATGACACCAAGACGCGTCGACAGAGGCCGGAGAAGTTCAAGACTGCCATAGACTGCGCACTTGCAGGTTATGGCCGAGGAAAGCACCATGATGCCAGGTGGAAAGAAAGAGAGGTGCATAACTTGGATGATGAGTCGATGATGAGAACTGAACACACAAACACGTAGTCTACACATGTCTACACAAACTTTGTGAATTTTTGTGTACCTCTTGACAGCTTTGCACCTTCACAATCTCAATTGATGTGAGTGAGATGGATCAAGTCCATGTCTTTAAGGCACATTGCTGCAGTAGCTTCTGTTTTCAAGACTGGCACCGATTGGCTGCGTGAAAAATGTGCGTGCTTGAATTTTCGGACTGTAACATTTGGCGCTGGTTGGCAGGAGGCAAAGCTAGGTGACAAGATTGCAACATATTGCAACATCGAAATGTTTGAATTGTTTGTTCGGAGATTACCTTGTGATACTTTGTGAATATTGGGATATATGGGGGCTACTACAGATTACTACAGCGAATTTTATGCTCGTCCATTCTGCATTTTTTGGTAAATTTTGTTTGAACGGATCATCGAATGCAAGATTGCTAAAAATGCCACAACGGAGGCAGAAGTCTGGACGTCATGGAAAGCAACGCGGTTGTACAATGTTGTTAGTGTTTGCAAAATTGATACCCCGTAGACTGCCTGGCTTGTTGCGCTCGAGGATTAAAGCCTTTCACCATTGCTCCAAATGGCGGAGAAATAGATTTGATTGGGTTTGTTGGTTTTCATCCGCGCGATTCCAGGGTTCAGACATGTTCAGACAACAAAGCAGAACAACATAGTATAAAGGAATCAGAAGGTTTCAAACAATGAACGGTTTGGTGAATGGTAAATACCTTCAAACTGGAAAGGCCATAGCCTTGTGTTGAAATTCATACAGCGGCATACCTTTACGATCCTTTACGTGTAGAACATACGTGGTAGCATAGCTTAGTTTTCACTGTAAGCAATCATATAATGAGATCCATGCTCCTTCCAAATCAGCGGCAAGGTATGTACATGCAGTGACTCAAGACCTCCGACATCGATTCATCGACTCCGGAAGCATTGTTTTCTTCCAACAATGCCTCACCAAAGAGCAAAAGAACGCAAGGACGCATTTTTGATTGGACACACCCAGATATCCCAGAATGGTCCTATGCTGTGATGCAAACATGTTTAGTCAAGCGTTTGAGGATCAACTATATACATCAGGGAATCCCTGAGCAACTTGATGCCTGATGGAAGGGCAACTTCGTTCGAAGCGGTCGAACCAGCTTGAAGGGGAGTTCCTTCATTCTTGACTGGTTCCACACCCGAATTGCGCCTCTAAGCCCGCCGAAATCAATCCACGGTGGAGGTTGAATGCTCCCGATGACCCAGTCCCAATTACTCTCAATGAGATCCAGAAAGGACTGAGATTCCTGTTGCTAAAAGTAACCACATCAAGGCAAATTGATGTTTTGAGTAAAGACCCCCCACGAACCTCCAAGAAGAGCAGAGGAAATTACTCCGCAGAAGCAGCAGTTTGCATCGCAGAAGCTTTGCGGAAGCTCCGCAGAAGATTGTGTCGAACTTGTCAATCGCCGAAGCTGACGCCTACCTCGCGCTCCACAGAAGCTTAAACTTAAGGGTCAAAATGAAGGCCAATGTTTGTTTGCTTGTTTACTCACACAGACTGGCTTGTCAAATGTTCTCACGAAACAAAATGATCGGAGAGTCCAAAAGTGTCAAGTTCGCAAGAGGGAAAGCAAGACTGCTTCGGCCCTTTTGATCGCAGACAGTGGGTTTGACGGAAGCATTACTGCCCAGTTTCAAGCTGTGCTTGGGAGCAGTATCAATATTGTATGGCGATTTGATTCTTTATGAATCAAGTTGCCTGTGATCGTAACTTCTCTCAACTGTCTTTTTTCAGCCTAGGCTTTGGTGTGGAACATGTCCAGTTGGTGAAACAAGCCTTTTACTTCCACGTGGCGTGACATTTGCCGCTGTATCATGCAGGCAAAGTTGCGTCTTGGATACCGATGGCCCCCTTCTGATTTAAGTGATTCCTATGGTCTTGTTGCGCTCAACGATCCTGCGAGCAGCCCATGTTTGCCGAGACTTGACTACCTGGTTTCTGCGTATAGCTCTTTATACACGCTTTCAAACGTTTGAATTCTCTGTCACCGCATTCCAAGCAAGAAAATTCGCTGTATGAATCTAGCAGGGATTTTTCTTCCAGCATGTTCGTGACTTGCCGGCCTCAGGAGAGAGACACTCCCTCTTCAGCCAGATTTTTTTGAATGTTTTGTTTTGCCTTCCATGTCTTTTGTCTAGTGATTTGGAGGGTCTTCTCCACTGTTTAGTTTGTTATTCGATGTTCAGTGCATCTTCAGACCTGAGAATGGTTTGCAGGACATACCAGTTTCTTCCCAACTGAACCTTCATGTTGTGTACGTGTCAGATGGTTCGTGATCATGAATCCGATGGTATGTAGTGAATGACAGCCGCAAGCAGCAGGTACTTGTAGTCGCACAATCATTCCTTGACAGGCTTGGTCATCTTGGTCCAGTTGAGTTGGCAAGAGACCAATGCGGGAAGGATAGGGACGCCAAGTGTGCTACGGAAGTCTATGGACATGGACCAAGCCACCAGTGTTCCAGACACTTCCAGCAGAGATGTCAGTACATGGCTTCCTCAATAGTAGCATGTCTTGAAGGCGCATTCCGCGCTATTTTCTCAGATCCACACACTTTCGGTTTGAAATTGACCAGCAAAGATCGAAGGGTGACCTTTTGTATCCTTTTGTGCTTTGCATTTGCCACAACCAGTTCTTGGCAGAAGATCCTACTAGCCCCCCTATCCTTTGCTCACGTCGGTAGATGTCAAAGGAACGGCATGAGTGGAAGCCTTCAAGCTAATCTCTCACCGCGCCCAATTCGGTCCAACTTCTTTACGCTTCCCTTGTGTGTGCTTTGCAACGTCACACCACTGTTGGCTGTTTAGAACATGAGTCCTAGTTTCATCTAGTTTCGTCATTTGGAATAGCAAGTTGAATCGCAGGTGTTGCAGCTCGGGAGATTGAGAAGCAAAGCTTAGATTGACACTGTTGAGAATGGAGAGGTTCAGAGGAGTTGACTCAAGAAATTTCATAAGCAGGAGTGCTGTGCTGCCAAATTCAACCAATATTCGTAACATGCAAGATCATTCAAGCCGCGACTTTGCGCAGAAAGTCCATAGGAACCTCGAAGAAGAGCCGCGGAAATTACTCCGCAGAAGCAGCAGTTTGCATCGCAGAAGCTTTGCGGAAGCTCCGCAGAAGATCGTGTCGAACTTGTCAATCGTGGAAGCTGACGCCTGTCTCGCGCTCCACAGAAGCTTAAACTTAAGGGTCAAAATGAAGGCCAATGTTTGTTTGTTTGTTTACTCACACAGACTGGCTTGTCAAATCTTCTCACGAAACAAAATGATCGGAGAGTCCAAAAGTGTCAAGTTCGCAAGAGGGAAAGCAAGACTGCTTCGGCCCTTTTGATCGCAGACAGTGGGTTTGACGGAAGCACTACTGCCCAGTTTCAAGCTGTGCTTGGGAGCAGTATCAGTATTGTATGGCGGTTTGATTCTTTATGAATCAAGTTGCCTGTGATCGTAACTTCTCTCAACTGTCTTTTTTCAGCCTAGGTTTTGGTGTGGAACATGTCCAGTTACAACTAGTTACAACCAACCCCCTCTGTGGAAAAGTTCGCTGTGGATGTTAAGGATTGAGCTTGCAAATGGCAGCTCACCGCCACAAGTGGCAACATGCCTCCAAGTTTCACCCTGTACAGGGTTCCAGAGGTGACGGTTGAAAGAGCTGAAAAGACGTATCACGTATCAATCATTTGAAACAGTCCCGTCCTCAACATTTACGTTCGACGTTCTTGTACTGAGGATGGGTACCATAGGCTTGGTCTCCAAGATCACAGAATGAGAGGTTCTCAATTAAACCCCTGTGTGTGACGGGTCATTGCTGCTCATCGATGTGGTGTTTCTACACAAAGCCTTGGCTGATGGCTGCGCAAAATTCTTGCCCTAGCTAGGGCAGACAGACATAGCTAGGGCAGACAGACATGTAGGGCCCATAGCTGTGTTTAATCACAAGGTTAATAGAGGATATACCGGGTATTGACTCAGCATCCACACCCCAATTCTGTGGCTCTACTGCCTTATGAACCCTTGACATGCGCAGACCTTTGAACCACCCAAATCTGTGGTTTTTCGACCATTGAAATACATGGCTTTGCAGGCCTGTGAACCCAACTTTTTGGGGCCCGAGGACGCCTGTTTTTTTGAGGTGTTCGCCTGCCCTGGCAGTCCTTTGATGAAACTTATTGGACTTATTGGCACCTTGCCAGGTTGCATTCTCTCAACATCTCTCAACATGTTTTTTACTTGGGACTGAGACTTGCAAAAACCGTAATTATTGACCGCTGCGGAAGCCACATAGCTAGTACCTCTCTAGCATCTAATCTATACAGTTCTAACTTCTAAGTGTAATTAGCAGAACAAGTGCGCTGCCCCATGGGTCTACACATGTCTACACCAGGTTTCATACTGCTGATGCCTGAATTTGAGGGTATAGACTGTATAGATATAGAGCTGCTCCATCCATTTTTACAAGCCTGCAATGCATTTCCCACAGAGCATGGAAACCGCACAGTTGGAGACCAGCAGCACCAACGGCTATGCTCGGCGTTTGCCTTGACGGGATCCACCGAAGGTTCCAGCCTATGACGACGATGACGAGCCGTGCCAGGACGCATGGCTGGATTCATTGCTCAGTGGAGCCCTCTGGGGAGTTGCGCAGTCGCCTTGTAGCCTTGTATAGCAAGTACAGATAAGTACAGGATAGCCAGTATGGAGGACATGCTGGACCCCAAGGCATGATACTGACTGCCAAGAAGCCGAAAAAACGTAAAAAGAACGCGTCGCGGTATTCCCTGGTGTGACTGGTTGAAGTTGAGCCAACGGGTCAAACTCCAGCCCCTGAGCATCTAGGACCAGTTGGCAGCTGCACTTATTAAATCATTACCTGTACAGCTGCATAGCACGATGACACCTCACCCTGCGAAAACCTTGCCTGCAATCCTGAACTTTCCTTCGATACACTAAAAAGTGCTCAGAAACAAAAAACGCTCATTTCCAAAAAAAAGTGCTACAAACCCTTAAAAAGTGCTCATTTGGTTGTTTCATTTTGTCGGGCACCCCCACATGTTCAAACAGCCGGATCCCCAAGGATTCTTGCAACATACACTGACACAATCACGCTATGCTTAGGATCACGCTGCTTAGG